TATATATTGTCAATTAAGAAACACTTATTAGGAGTTACTGATTATAAGAAAATTATAAATAACTTTGTATCTAAGAAACGCTAGAAAAATAGATTTCAAATAAATAAATAAATTTCTTTTTTAAAAAAAAGTTAAGCCCCTCATAAAGTTTGGTTTTAGGTCACAAAACTCGTCGGGCCGCCCCCGAATATACAACTCACGCTCTATTGGTTTGCTACGTAATTATAAAGCCATGATCTCAAAAGTAGCGGTGCTTACCAAAAGAAAACAAACCTCTGCATAAAAATGTAAATAGATTCGATTTGATTATGGACGTTTAGAATGTTTGGTTAAAATCGAAGCAAAAACATAAATATTATTTTCAGAAACAGCCTCTCTATCTTCCCAGGGTAGACATCGATTATGACATTCCAACGTGTCCAAAATGATCCGAATCACACCCAAAACCCCCGAGCCCTATTCAAACATACTTACAGGTCCTAAAACACGTCACGAACTTAGTCAAAACCTTAAATCATATCAAACAACATCGAAAACACGACTTTTACACTGTCCACGACGGCGATGTTTTCGATAACCTTGATTTTATCGGGGTTGATCTCGATCCCCCGATTCGATACGATGAAGCCAAGGAACTTGTCTGACCCTCCCCAGACTCCACTTGTGAGATTCAACTGGATTGTTGTTGTTGTTGTACTAAGCTGCAACCACGTAAAACTTTAAAGAAACGAGCAATCGACAATTATAAACTATCTGGAAATCCTTAAATAACTGAAATGGGGCAGATATATTGTTTTAACACTTTTCCACACATATGACCAACTGACACATTTTAGGAAAGAAAGGGGTCCAAATCATTACCATAGTGTTGGCTGGGAATGGGACTTTTAAGGAGCACCCGGAAAATAGAATAGCTCTGCCCCAGGAGAAGCTCTAGGGAAGTGCATCAGTTCTATGGCAATATTCCTTTCTTTCCTGAGACTAATGTCTGGCTCCTGATCAATGCACATCCTTACCGGAGATGGAGTGCGAGCACACAATAACTTCACAAAAAACATTTCAGTTTTTGAACACTCAAAAGAATTGATGGCCACATACTCGAGCTTGTTGAGCGGTTGGTCCAAGCAGGCTGGTGTGTCCAGATACAGGGGCGGTCGTCCATAAAGCAGGTAAAACAACTGCTTTAGGTCCCACATTTATGGAGACCCCATTTTTTAAAAAACCTAATAGGCTATATATAAATTTAAAAACAAAGTTATGTGAAGTGAAAAAGTTTGATTTATTTATTTAACAAATAAAGAGATGAAGGATTTGCAACTTCTTTAATTTCTGCCAAGAAAATTGCATTTGAAATTAATATCGAACCCGAATTTTATAAAAAATATGTAATATATATGAAGAAACAATTTGAGGTGAATGTTAATAGTGAAATCTCAAAATCTATTGAAGAAACCTTTAGAATTGATTACCTTTTATACATACTCTCACTGGTCCATAATAAATGACTTTTTAACCTTTGTTGTACCCCTTAAGAAAATACTGACTCCTAGAACAAAAATGTATATTGAATAAAATTATCTTTAATTAAAATTTATATGTTGTTAACTTGACACATTAAGATATGTAAATAAGGGAAAATTTTGAAAAAATAAAGTTAATTCCTTCTCGATTATATACAAGGACACTTATTTTGGACCAAAATAAAAGCAAAAAAAATCATTTATTATGGACCGGAGAGAGTAGTAGACAAGGTTATCTTTTCACTTTAAAATAGATTTGAACAATTAGAGGCATATGAAAATATTTTTGGTTTTCTATTTAGCGGTAAAAACTGAAATCAATAGTTGATGAAAATTTGAAAAAAATATTGTCTTCATCTTGAAAGCTCCTTAAATCATAATAATCAACCCGATATTGATAGTTTAGATTTATTTTCTGAATTAAAAATATTAAGAAAAATAGTACAATTAGAAGATAACAATTTAATTGATATACTCAATCAAATAAAAAGGTTTGATTATTTTTCAAATGCCTATATTACTTATAAAATAATGTTAATAACTCCTATTACCGTTGCTTCAGCGGAAAAAGGTGTTTCAAAATTAAAATTGATAAAACCTTACCTAAGATCAACAATGTCTCAAAGATATTAAATGAATTAGCTATATTGTCAATTGAGAAAGACTTATTAGTTGAAATTGGTTATAAAAAATTAATAATAACTTTGCATCTAAAAAAAGTTAGAAAAATAGACTTCAAATAAAAATAAAATATTTTTTATTAATAAAAAAGTTAAAGCCCCTCATAAAGTTTGGCTTTAAGCCACGAAATTGATCGGACCGCCCTGTCCAGATATTTCACTGCTTCAGCATTGTCGCCAGTACCATAGACCTAATGATATAAAATAAATACCAAGTCAGTTAAACAACTTGTGCCTACATATACATACCACATATACCTTTCTTACCATAACGCGAGGCGTATCCGAATTGGAAGGATACAGTTTGCATTAAGCCGACTTAACTTATAGTATACACTTAAAGTTTATCAGGTTATTTAAAAGATAACCGGAAACAAGTATCTTATGTGTAGGTTGAAAATCTAAAGAAAAGGCAAGTGACATGTACGTTAGATTAAACTACAATAACAATGTAAAATTTGTTTGCCCTTGTCTTATCAGTCCATTTAATAATAACAATCTAACTTGATTCTTGAGATTTAAATAAATTGCTTCCTAAATAAATAAGATTGGTCTTATCTCAAAGGGGCAACTCAGTAGCTTAGCTAGAGAGCCTAATTTAAACTTTATTCATCAATTTGAATTCTAATGACTTCTTGACCGCTGCTACTAACTGGATGCATTGCTTATTCATGTTAATTATGTACAACAACAACAACCCAGTATAATCTCATTAGTGGGGTTTAGGGAGGGTAGTGTGTACACAGACCTTACCTCTACCCTGGGGTAGAGAGGCTGTTTCCGATAGACCCTCGGCTCCCTCCCTCCAAGAACTCCCCACCTTACTCTTGGGGTGACTCGAACTCACAACCTCTTGATTGGAAATGGAGCGTGCTTACCACTATCTTGGTCCCAAGAAAGACACAGCATACCAAGTTCCAGCCACTTTCAATAACTTCTCGGTCTACCCTTTGATTATGAACTATATAAGAGCACTTCCAATCATTGCTATCCTTATTCTTTCTTCTCCATTTTTAGTCAAAGCTAGATATCACACCCATCTCTCATTCAGAGATGAGTGAAACTGGTATTTATAACAGCATGCTTACAGTAAGAAACTCAATATATGGTGTTCTATGTTGCAATAGTTATAACTAAGCTCCAACGCGTACTATGATATACAATGCCCTAATAGTATAAAGAAATACCAAGTAGATTCTCATGTTCACATGTATGAAGTGCAAAAATCAACCAGATCATAAGCATATCAAGTGCGTGACCACAAAATTTTCCATTACTTACCCAAATCTGAAGTTTACTCAAATGGGGAAAACTCTTAATTAACTGTAGAGCGCAAGAGATCTGACTCAATTTGCCAAAATCTACACTTAATGACAGATGCCACAAGCAGTAGAACGTAAAAGGAGGGCCCTTAGGAACAATGACTGCACTCAACAGCTTTGGAGCAAATACAAAAATTAGATTCACATCAATAGGATTCCTATAAGATATCCAACTAAAGCAGCATTCAGTTTCTTACCTCAAGGAAAATAGAACCCAAAACGAGCACCTCAAGTGTAGGCAAGCTAGACAGAAGCTTGTCCAAAGTTAATTTTTCAACCACTTGGTCAAATTCAAGAAATACTAACGCTCTCAAACTTTTGCAATTCATAAAGCAATTTAGCACGAGAGAGTGAAACTCACGAAGAGTCAAGGACTCCAACTGTGGTGAAACTATGTTCAGATATTGAGTGCCATCACAGGAAATCAAACTCAAAATGACAAGACGAGGGACATTGATAACACAAAACTCTGGGGTTGGCACAAAGGTTATTTTTTTAAGATAGAGGTCTATAAGATTCTGAAATCCAAGAAAAGAATTTGGTGGGTTGAATAAACAGTTTTGGAGTTCCAAATATGTCAGGGTTGGACAATTAATTATATATGAAGGCAGTTTATAAGTTCTAATATCTGGCAAGTCAAGGGTTAGCTCCTTGACACCATTTCTGGTGACATAACGCATCCATCTATCAATATCTCTATCTGTATATGTTGAAAAAGGTAATCCTACAAAGTCAAGAACAAACTTCACAATGACTCCAATATGCTGTAAGAGAATCCCATTTACTATTTCTTTGAAGAGACGAGGTGGTATTTTTCCGAAAAAACACTTATCTAGCACCAGATTTGGAAGCATCGCCCAAATATATCTCCATTTTTGGGCCAAAATACTAGTTCTTGCTGCATCTTTGACCGGCAGGAGCTCAAGGATACCATCTATAACGTTACTTGGTAAAGCACTGATTCTATCTTCTCTATCCCCTTCAACAGCAGCTCTTTTAGTATCTGTTAGAAGAAGTTGAATAATCTTAAAGCTTAAAATTTATACTCCAAAAAAGAAAAGAAAAAAGGTGGGGGAGGTAAATACCTTGAGCCATGCGGGTTAGAAATTAGAGTCCCCAAATATTCAGAGCAGGAAGTGTCTTGTTGTTGTAGATAGAAGACAATCTAAGACTTGATTTCTAACAAATGAATTTAATTGGAGAATTGATCGACCTTCCACTGCCTATTGTTAAAGAAAAACATAAAAGTGAAGATATTGGTTTAGGACTCAAAAGTACAAAGGTATTCCTTGACAGAAGTTGTATTTTATTTTCAAATATAATGGGAGTGTGTGCTGTGAAATGATAACTGTATCCTTGAAGGAGATTATGAATGTGTTTGGCATCAATCACAATTTTTCCATGTTTGGTTGGGTTAAATGTTTTGGAAAATATTTTTTTTATAAACTCATTTTTCTTCAATTGGAATAAAATGTTCTTTCTCAACCTTCCTCACCCACTCCACACCCTCACACCCACCCACCTAACCCTATCCCCTCCCCTCTCTCCAAAAAGGCTTTTGTTTTCAAATTTTAGTTTTTTTTATCGTTACCACCCACCCTACAACCCCGCAAAATTTTTTTTTACTTTTTTTTGTAATTTTTAAATTTCTGTTTTTTCGTTTTTCTCCACCACCCATCCACACCATCCACCCCACACACAAAAAAAAGTTTTTTTTTACTTTTTTTTTTGTAATTTTCAAATTTCTATTTTTTTTTCCTGCACCACTCCACTACCCCCACCTCGCACAAAAAAAATATATTTTTTTTAATTTCAGATTTATGTTTTTTTATTTTTCTGCACTCCCGTCGTCGCCCCTGCCCCTCTCCCTCGGGATTTTTTTTTTTTTTTTTTTTTTTTTTTGTATATATTTCAGTTTTAGTTTTTTTATCTTTCGGTTTACAGGTTCGAAATTTTACAAGTTTCAAAGTTATGAGTTCAGAGGTTTATGTATTTGGAAGTTTACGGGTTTGAAATTTCGCACTTTCGAAAGTTTAGCGGTTCCGAAATGTATGAAATTTGTGGGTTCGAAAGGTTGTTGGTTCGAAAGTATATGACTTCATGTTTATTATATCTAAATTATTTATGAATACTCTTGAGAAGTTATTTTTCTTAATTTGCGTACCAAATATCGAAAAATGAATAAGATTACTACTTGTTTTCCAAGAAAATATTTTCTTGGAAAATATTTTTCACAGAAAATATTTTCCGTTATACCAAACACACCTTATGTCACGTGCTTTACAATCCAGCTATCCATAATAGCAAAGGAATATTTTGCAAGAATATTCTAGAGATTCCTTAGCTGTATTTTATATTTCCTTGTATATATATATTTTTATTCACAACAAGACAAATTGTACATGGACAGGTATGGAGCAGTACATAGGGTAAATTGAATAAATTAGCTACACTATATACAATTTTTTGATTTAAGACAATACACACCAATTCATATTGGGTTCAAAATTTTCTCTGTCTTTACATGGTATCAAGAGCAAGTTGACCAACCTGATATTTGAAACCCAAATTCATTTTTCAACTTTGCTCTATTCCTTACAATGGGAGAAACAACAGAAGTTGTAATTGCAGCAACAACTGATTCAACCAATAAAGGTGTGATTGATTCAACACACCATTTCTTTCTCCATCCTTCAGACTACCCAGGCATGAACCTTGTTTTCTCAGCTTTTGATGGCAAAAGCTATGGAGCTTGGCGTAGAGCAGTAGTCATAGCTCTTTCTATCAAGAATAAACTAGGTTTCATAGATGGAACTCTTTTCATTCCAGATGAAAACTCTGGTCTTCAAAGTGCATGGGCTAGAGGAAATGAGATGGTGTTGTCTTGGCTCCTTAACTCTCTGTAAAAAGAAATTGCAGGAAGTGTTCTTTACTCACACAATGCAAAAGATCTGTGGAATGATTTAGAAGACAGATTTGGTCAGACAAATGTGGCTAAACTTTTTCAACTGCAGAAAGAACTAAGTGCTGTGGTTCAAGGTAACTCTAGTGTTTCAAGTTATTTCACAAAAATGAAAAATTTGTGGGATGAACTAGATACCTTGATCAATTTTTCTACTTGTTCATGTGAATGTGTATGTGGAGCTAAAAGAAAAAGTCTGAAAACGCACCAAGACCAGAGACTGCTGCAATTTTTAATGGCCCTGAATGACACCTACATAGGTGTGAGAAGCAACATACTATTGACTTGTCCTTTACCTTCTCTTGGCCAAGCTTACTCTATGGTTATCCAGGATGAAAAGCAAAGAGAAATACATGTTTTTCCTGTTTATCCGGGAGAATCAGCCTCATTTATTGCTGCACAACATGGGACTGTTGGTAAGAGAAACAATGTGAGAGATTTTAAAGGGAAAAAACTTGGGTATGAGGGAAAGAAAAATAACTCTACTTGTTCATATTGCAAGAAGCTAGGTCATGTTATGGAACAATGCTACATGCTTGTTGGATTTTCCTCAGATTTTATGTTCACAAATCAAAGAAAATGCCAGAGGTTAGTTCAAGGTAACAATACTTTCAGCACTGAAGAAAATGCAGTACAGACTACGGGGATCAAGTCACTTACTCAAGAAAATATCAGCCAGATCTTACAACTCCTTCAGCAAGTGCAGATGGGAAAACACGGAACCAACAGCTCTGAAAACAATGCAGATGTGAATTGTGTTGGTATATCTTTCTCACATAATTGCACTACTTGGTTTGCATATAACAACAATGAGACATGGATATTAGATAGTGGTGCATCTGAACATATGACTTTTGATGAAACTGCTCTCTATAATATAGATCATTTACCTAAACCTTTGAATGTAAATTTACCCAACTCTCATAAGGCTAGAGTCACGCATTCAGGTTCAGTTTCATTTTTTTCAAACATGATTCTTCACAATATGTTGTATGTCTCTGCTTTTAGATTCAATTTATTTTCAGTTCATAAATTGTGCAAACAAAATAACTATCTCATATTATTCACTTCTCTTTTCTATTTTTTGCAGGCCCCTCAATGAAGAGGCCTCTGGTGATTGGTAGGGAGAGTTGTGGTCTTTATGTTCTGGAATCAAGGCATTTGGAACTCATTGCCAAGAAGTCATCTTCATCTAGAAGTTTGTTTATGTTAGGAAAAAATCTATGTAATCAGAAAGTTCCTTCATCTTTACTTTCCTTCTCTAGTAATTCTGATGTAAAGAACAAGTTGTGGCACTATCGTTTAGGCCACTTGCCTTTGAGTAATATGAAGAATATTTCATCTATTCCTAATTCTTCATGTGATAATTTTTCTGTGCCTTGTGCGATATGTCATATGGCTAGACAGTCAAAAATACCCTTTTCCACTAGTTCAACTACTTCTAAAACTATGTTTGATATAATTCACATACATACATGGGTCCTTACAACACAACCACTTATGATGGATATAAGTACTTCTTAACTATAGTTGATGACTATAGTAGAGGTACTTGGACATATCTTCTTAGCACAAAATCAAATGTGTTTCCAGTATTGCAATCTTTTTAGCTATGATGGAGAGACAGTTTCACAACAAAGTCAAAATCATACGTTCAGATAATGCTTTTGAGCTTGGAACATGGAATGCACATGCAGATGTTTTTTCAAAACAAGGAATTTTTCATCAGACAACTTGTGTTGGGACTCCTCAACAAAATGAAATTGTGGAGCGCAAACATAAGCATCTTCTAGAGACTTCTAGGGCTTTGCTCTACCAATCGCATCTACCTATTCTTTTTTGGGAAGATTGTGTGTTGACTTAACACATTTAATTAACAGGTTCCCTTCAAAGGTCTTAAAGCTTAAGACAACTTATGAGATATTATTTAAAACTAAGCCTAACTACTCCAGACTTAAATATTTTGGATGTTTATATTTTATTTCTATTCTTTCATCTCACAGGAAAAATTTTGATCCAGGGGCCTTACCTTGTGTTTTCTTAGGATACTCACATGGTAAGAAAGGGTATAAAGTCCTTAAACTTGACACAAAGAAGACTTTTGTTTCTAGGGATGTGATATTTCATAAGGATATCTATCCCTTTGCTTCAATGAACATTTCAAAGCCTCATAAATTAATTTTTCCTACTTCAAATACACCTCGAGTAAATCTTGAAGTTCCTGATTTGCAGACTACCAATTCAGTTGGACATTCTCATCATCCGAGTAATCTTCCAAATCAAGATGTTACAGAATTTCCTACACCACTTTTCAGTCCACAACCAATAGATGGAAATCCTAAGAACTCACCAGTTGCACTCAGAAAATCCATTCGGATTCACAAAACTCCCTCTTACCTAAGTGACTACATTACAAATGCAGTGCAATTAACTGATGTTAGCACACCATGTTTTCTTTCTCCTATAACACATGCTTCTTACTTTTTTTCTGCCCTCTCAACTTCAAATAAGTCATTTTTAAATTCACTTTCAAATGTTCAAGAACCACTAACCTTCAGCTAGACAGCTCATCACCCAGGATGGCAAGAAGCAATGCAGAAGGAGATTGAGGCACTAGTCCAGAATGAGACTTGGGAAGTTGTTGAACCTCCTGCTGATAAAAAGGCTCTCCCATGCAAATGGGTATACAAAGTTAAACATCATTCAGATGGAAGTATTGAACGACTGAAAGCAAGATTAATAATCAGAGGTGATGTATAATGTGAGGGTACAAATTTTAATGAAACATTTTCTCCAGTGATTAAAATGATTACAATCAGATGTCTTCTAGCTACTGCAGTCAAAAAGGGATGGGGATTATATCAATTGGATGTTAACAACGCTTTCTTACATGGAGATTTAAACGAAAAGGTATACATAAAATTTCCAGTAGGTATGAACTCTCCAACACCCAAACATGTGTGCAAGTTAAAGAAGTCACTTTATGGACTTCGTCAAGTATCAAGACAGTGGTATTCAAAGCTTACAGGTGCTCTTAGTTTCAAAAGCTATTCATATTCCCTAAATGACTACTCTTTTTTGCTTTAAGAAGAAAGGAACTTCAATCTCTATTGTAGCAATTTATGTTGACGACATCGTGCTAACTGGTAATGACATTGAGGAATTGAATGCCTTGAAAATTTTTCTTGATCAAGAATTCAAGATTAAGGACCTCGAAAACTTACATTATTTCTTGGGGATGGAAGTTCTTCGAGAATCAACTGATTTGATTCTTTCTCAATGCAAATTCACCTTGGATTTGCTAAAAGAGTTTGACTGCATTGATAAGCAACCCGCTTCTTCACCTTTGG